AGTTCAGGCAACCATAGTTTATTCTGCTGTCTTCCTCCACGTCACGAAGCAGTGCCTCCCTACGGGAAAGATTTGTAATTACTAGTATTTGTTTCTCACTGCAAGAAATAATATTAATAGCATTTATTCCTATGAATATCCTAATAAACTCATACCAATTAATCTCCAAAAGATTGAATGAAAACATTCTACGTAGGAAGAAATCTTCCATGCTCTGGTTATAATCACGGAGAATTCCATTGGAAATTCAATGACTAGTCAGAAGTCAGGATTCTGGGTAAGTGTATCATCAGCGCAAACGTTGAGACGAAACATAAATATAGGGCAAGACGTGAAACAATTTAGTTTAAAGTATAAAATTTCATGTGAAAAGAGTTTTAAGACAAAAATTCATATTTTCCGCGTCAGACACTGTATGAGGCGATTAGTGATCTGCTTTTTGAAAATATTACTCTGACGAGCAAGATTTAGTTGTGCTAATGCGCTGTTTCAATAGTGTTCATATAATATGACAGGGAAGACGATATTTTTCATTCTTTCCTGATCACCAGTTGACCTGCGTTTTTGTTGGGGGTCCGATTGGTTGTCCCATCGCTATCGAGTGACCATGTCAATCCCATGCGTATGTTTCCTTCCTTGTGTTTGATACGTCTATTGCTGTCCATGTTCCAAGACGAAAGAAAGATTACAAACTGCTCGAAAAGGCGCCCTAAAAAGCTGCATTTGCCTGTTGTAACACGCAAAGGACTGTCCCTTAACAGTGACTATCGATCTGCGCCCAAACGGCCGGTGTCGAACGTCCGATTCCAAATATTTTACTGCTTGTGTATTTATCTGCTATTTGTAATTTTCGATCTGTCACAAATATATGCATGTTGTATTTTAACGTCATTTATAGGCCGAGAATATTTTATTGTGTTGAAAATGTGTTGTTTCGTAGTATATATAAGTAATTTGTTTGCTGTTTGTACAAAGTTCGTTCGACATTCTTCTTTCATTGCGATTTCAATGATTCCTTTGAGCCATGACTTGCTTCTGCGGTTCTCTAAGGCATTAGAGGCTACGGTTTCGCGTGAATACGCGCGAAGTAACTCATGCTATAAAATCCTACTCCACACATTTGAAGTGTAAATAAGAGAATGGTTAGGCTAAATGTTTCATATTTGTTATTAACACAATGTGTAGTTATCTGTATGCTCTGCCACTGTCGCCGCTAAATCCATGAACATTCCTAAGCCTTTTTATTGTTTATTGTCGATATTACAATGGGAGTGATGCGTTATACTTTGCCATTTAAAATACCGGTTGAGTATCCCTAATCCAAAATGCTTGGGTCTAAGACTGTATAAGATTTTTGAATTTTTCCGGGCTTTGGAATTCATGATATGATGGAGTTGAAGAAAACTGAAAAAAAATTTCAGACTTTCAGAATAATTAGCACGGTGGACCCAGACATCTCTCACTGAACATTTTTGACAGTATACCCATGACACAGTCATGTTAAAAAAACACGAGAACTTTCTCCCATTCGGTAGAAGCATGTCAATAAGGATATGGGGAATCGATGAAGAAACTCATAACGTATTACAGAATTCCAAAATATAAATTATTAAAGCCATTTAATATTTTCCCACCCAAGTTCTCCGCTTGGCCAGACAAAATGACGAATCTGCTTTCTTTGAATAAAAATATTTATGGCTCAAAACTGAGTACCAATCCCAAAAGCTGTCAGCTGTGAGACTGATGTTACGGATGTTTTAGAAAGCGGTGTAGCAGCTCCTTAAACATCACAAGAAACAGAAACGTTCACTTAGTCATTTCACGTTGAAACAACCAGGGTTTCGTTGCAGTGGAACATCAGGTACAGAAAGACATTTTTATACAGCTTATAGAGTTGGAAGGGAAGGGGTTCAGGAATGGGTGAAATCTAAGAGTTTGTGCGTCGTTTCCATAATAGAATGCAGGCATGAAGATAGACTGTGTTCTCTTTTTTGACCAAAGAGAATTTCCGAAAACGTTTGACAGTACGACATTCGTTATGGTCGGAGAGAGGCTCTTTTCTCATTGGCCGGTGGAAGGTTTGGAGGATGAGCGACGGGATTGGGTTATGGCCGTTGTTCATATCATCCAAAGATATTTCAAAACACGCAGGACTGAGAAGCGAGCTGATAGAATGTTACAGCTTTCATATTAGGAATACTCAACCTGTACCGTAAACAAACAACAACAGTTATCATTTTCAAACCTACCCAGGATGGACGTGAACTTCTGCTCTGCCTCTGACTTCCACTCCAGCCTTGCCGAAGTTATGCTTGTCGAAAATTTTCAGGTTTACCATGTATGCCGAAAGAACCTCTCCGAATAATCAATGTTCAGCAGTCAGAACCTATCGATCATTTGGCACGCTCCCACCACAGAGA